CTCTCTCTCTCTCTTCCTTCCTTCTCTCTCTCTCTCTCTCTCTCTCTCTCTCTCTCTCTCTCTCTCTCTCTCTATCCCGCGTATATCGATCGGACGGTGGACGACGGTGCCCGAGCTTCGATTGTCCAACAGATTTTTTCCACCACGTTACTCCACAGGATCACGTGTCACCCGATACAGTACGTCGCCCGACAAACGAATCGAAGATCTTGAACAGAGGGGATAGTTGGTGTTTCGAGTTTTTAGGTTAAACCCTGGTGGACGGAGCGAGAGAAAGAGAGGGGGAGGGAGGGGAAAAAGACAAGTTTCACCCTTATTTTTCGCCGATCCTCCCTCTCGAACGTTTACTATCAAAGCATCGTTAGTCTAGTGGTCTCTTGGCAAGCACGGGGGAGTAACGCTGTTGGTTCTCACGCGCCCCATACGTCTACCGTGTTAATGCAAATACAGCCGGCACTACGAATAACAAGGTGCAATGTTACAGTTGGGGAACAAACTTCGTGGGCGAGGCTCGAGTTTTGAAACGGTTTGCAACGCGGATTCCTCCGACGCGGAATTAACTCTTGGTAATCGTCGTTACGTGTAATAGCGGTGCGTAATCCAGCGAGTTGTAACAACTGTTCTTTTTCCCGGCAATTCGTCGGATTTTCGATCCGCGACAGAATCACGCCCGGACCTTAATTTGACAGGGGACGAGGGTGTGGAGAGCGGCGCGGGCGTGACAGATTGTAGAAGCGTGTCGCATCGGTTAATACAACGGGACTAATGAGTGGGACGCATCGAGACTCGGGGATGTGTATCTCTCCGTCGCCTCTCGTTTCGGAGATATACCACCGTTCCAATAATTCACCTCTAATTAAGGCGTTAATGAAGAGCCTCGGGGAGAGAGAGAGAGAGAGGTTCGATCGCTCTCCTCTTTCGACCTCTCTCCCCCAACCCTTGGCGATTTTACTCTCTCGACGAGCGTCCCGAGAGAGGGAAGGATGGCCGATCGAGAATTGATCCTACGAACGATGCGGGGCTGTGTGCGCGTCCGGCCATTGTGCGCCAAAGGATTGCCCGTTAATTGAATCATAGGGAGCTTTGTTTTCCCACCACCAAATTTCCAGGGACGAGTGAATCGTAATCGCGACACAATTTAATCCCCCTTCGACCTTGGATCTCGCGGATATTCGTATTACTACGCGGGCAATTTTACACAAGATGTGGTGCACAAATTTTTTTTCTTTAATCCTTTCTTCAGATTTCGTATCGATGATTTCGAGGATGGATCCGTGGGCGGATCCGAATTCACACAGCGAAGCCATCGTCCCCTTTATACGTGGATCCGTTCGCGGAATACATGACAACGGGTCCCCCCCCTCCCGCGCGCATTGAAAATTCTCTGTGATTCGGCGCAATTGATTAGCAGGCCAGTATTTATGCAGGCCACCTAGTCGTTACCGTTCGTGATTTCAGTTTGCATTACCGACAGGCTAATGTACGCGCAAACGCGACGCGAATCTGTTTGGATTAGTCGCTCGTGACCATCGACGATGTCGAACAATCTTCGATTCTCGTTCCATCCGTCCGCTCTTGCTGGTCGCGTCCCGAGGAATTAAGCGGAATTACCGTCGGTTCCTCGACAGGAGGAGGCATCTCCATTCGGAGTGGAATGTAATTTTCACGCGATTCCTCTTGTTATCTCTTCCTTTTTCATTTCTTTTCTCTTTCGTTTTCTATTAATCCGTGAGAGTCGAAGAATTGGAGGTTCAGAAAGCGACGAAAAATTGTTTCGAGCGTATTCGGGGAAAGAGAGATAAGATAAAAATATTTGGAAGAATATTTGGAATCCAATTTAAAGAGAAGTTGCCTGTATCGCGAGGAGAATCTTCCCGTTGTTTCTCCAATAAAGCCGAACCCGCTTCTCTTTTGCCGAGTTGGAGCAGCTTCTCACGATCTTTCCATTGGTTGCTTGCTATTGTACCATCCTCGATTCAATCCGCGATTTTCTTCCCTTTTCCACGTAGTCGCTCGTATCTATCTGACCGACCCTTGTTCCACGGGGAAGGATTTTTCAACCGTGATTTCTTCAACGCGACAAATCGATACCGCTTATCTCGACAATTTCATGGTCGAGGCTACGCGTTGGATCAATTTTTACTTGGTTCCCTCTCATGCCGTTCTAGTGTTCTACTATCCCCAACCGGGGATAAGATCTTTTTTTTACAAATTGTTCGGGAAATCCTCTTTTATCGGTAGAGAGATCGGTAAACGTTTCGAGAGAACCACCATGGAGATGGTTTTCTTCCCCCCTCTCTCTGATGAGCCCGCTTCTTTCTCTTACGTTTATCTTATAATCTTTTTCTTCTTTTTTTCCTTCTATTTATCCTTCCTCGATATAATAATTAGATTAGATTCCAATTAAACGCGCGAGTGGATCAAATGCAACGATGTCCGTGCCTCGAGATCGCGAGATCTCTGGACACGTTAGTTGGTCTCGAAATCACGTACGACTCGGCTCCTGATGGCATGGGATTCTCGTCAACACGAGAGCATAGTCCCTCGGGATGCGGACGTTGACGCATGAATTTTGCCTCTCGCGAATGAAATTAATCCCATCCGCGTTTTGTATCGTCACCCCTCCTTTCCATTCCTCCTATCGCGTTGCATCGATGGGATAATTAACGACCCGGCCTTTTCCTTCTATTTTTCCTCGAATAGCTCCTCTTGTTTCTCTCTTTCTCTCTCTCTTTTTATCTCTCGAGTTTACCGGTTCATTCATTATTTTTCCACCGCATCCACCGTGATGGATCCCTTCTCGATAATTAGCACCGCGATTAATCACCTCGTTGTCCAGCACGCCGCTATTCGAGAAAGTTGGTCGTCGCTAGGAATTTTTACCCCCTCTCCCCTCGATCGACGAGCAACGGCTGGCCGCCTGTTTCCCAAGTGGGAGAACAACACTTGTCGCGTTCTTGGTTGGTCTTCGTTGGCGAAAAAAAAAAAAAGAAAGAAAGAAAGAAGAAAAAAACAAAAGCATGGGCCAGAAAATCCGTGAGCGAGGATTTTCCTCGGTCGAGACCACCACAATCACCGGGGATCCCATAAGAAGCAATTTCTCTTCGGAGGTACATGCATAAGACAGGTTTTAATACAGCTCGGCCGGTAAGATATTCATACGGTTTTTATCCGGCTCGGGCCGAGCGTGGTTCTCGTTTCTCGACGAAAAATCGACATCGGACGGGGTGGGGCGTCGTCGAAGGAAACGAGAGAAAAATAAGGCTGGCCAGAAATAAAGTTCGGGCAAATAAAATCGCGCGCGCGCGAAAATAAATAGAAGGCGACCACGGCCGATTTAATTTGGAAAAAAGGAATTCGGGGAAGACTCATCGCATCTTTTCCATCTCTTGTATCCCAATACGAGAGAGGGGAGAGAGGGATCGTTCAATGAATTTCTCTCGAACGATTCTATTTTTTTTTCGTCTTTCGCGAACTTTTTTCGAACGAGTCGAAATTTAAATCGGCGGTTAAAATCGTTCGAATCGGAACGCGATTATACACTGCTTAAAGCGTACGGAGCGTTGGACTCGTATTAAATTTAAAGCGGGACCACAGTTGCCGCCGCGAGGTGGTCTCGATTATAATTCACGAAGGGTAACCCCGGTAAATCGTTTCTATTTTAGAACGGTTGCCAGCACGATGCCGCGCATTTATTTATCGCCCGTTGTTACCGGCCCGACTTATTCATGAATTATCGCGCTTTTTCCAACGAATTTTTCCAGAGTAACAGGTTGGCGGAGGTTGGACCCCCATCCCGCGCGCCTCCTCGTTTAACTCGACACGAGGGCGCGAAAAACTTTTTCGTCCTTCAGCAAGGGAAAAATCTGCACGTGGAAACGAAAAAACGTACGAACGAAACCAACCATTTTCGCGATCCTTCACGCTCGATAAGTTTTCCATCCATCTTTATGGTCAGCGACCTCGAATCCGAATCGAAAGGAAGTTCGTTCAAGAAGTTGGATCGAAGAGGGGCGGTTACGAGGATCGATGCGGTCGTATAGCTCGGTTTTTATGGAGTTTCCTCTTCCCCCCTCCCCCCTTTTTACGTTAGAGCCGCTCGCGGAATATACGTACGTTTCGAGGCGTGTGCGCGCGCGCACACACACACACGCGCGCGTGATGGGACTCGCTTTCCAGCGAATTGTTTCGTTTCCTCTTTATTTTCCCCTCTTTCTTCCCTTCTTTCTTCTTTCTCTTCCTCTTTTTCTCTCTCTTTTTTTTTCGGCCGCGCGTTGTCCTCGTGCATTGGATCGGTCCTTCTGATTGTGACAGCGTTGGGGAGGAGGGGGAGGGAGAGGGGAGGGGGGGGGGAAGGGGTCCTTTGGCTCGATTTCGAGAATGAAAACGCGACGTCGCGTTCCAACCTAGCAATCGGCCGTTGTTTATCGCTTCTCATCCTCGGAGCCGGCCGGAAACTGGCGGAAAGCTATTTTCACGGAGAGGAGAGAGAAGTGACTTGCCTCGAAACGACTCGCTGGAATGCAATAAGAGAGCGAAGGCTGTAGACGAGAAGGAAGGAACTCTTCGCCAGCTATGAAAATTTCTATTGGCTTTCTTCGAGGGTTCTTTCGTCGCGACTCCTTTCGACGACGACCTTACCCCCTCGTGTGCCGGGGAATCCGTCTATGAACTTTCCCTCCCAAGGGAAGAATCTTTTGTTTCGAATCGGTCGTTTCGCGTATCAACCTCGCGCATTTACCTTCCCTTTGAATCTCGCGACGAGATTCAACGCAGATTCTCGCAAACTTGGAGATCTTGGGACGGTGCGATCGTCGTTGCATTTATCGTTGCGTTTATCGCGCTGCGCGTACGAGACGATCGAGGGATCGATGGTAACAAAAGGAAATTTCGTCACACCTACCTGTCGGCGTTACCAGAAACGCAAGAGAGAAAAAAAAGAAAGAGAAAAAAAAAAATATCGAAAAAACAAAAACTTGACCCCGTTCCTTTCTTAACCCGTTCGACACTTGGAAAAAAATGAAGGAAGAAAAGTAAAAAAAAAAAAAAAAAAAAAAGTAACGAAAAGGTCAACGTAAGATTAAAAAAACAAAGATGGTTGCCGAGATGGAGATGACGTTTAATCGTTAAATCAATAAAATTAATGAATTAAATAAATAAATTAAAAATGTTTATATACATATTTATATATATAATATATATATATATATAATATAATATAAAACATAAATAGAGTCCCGAGACTGGTGGAGCGAAGCGCGTATTTCGACGCGCCCTCTCCGTTGCGCTTTCTTTGCGATCTTTTTCTCCTCGCGCGAAGCCGTAACGTCGAGAATTCCGGAAGAGATCGATTCGCCATCGTGTCCGCCCAAAATATCATCGTTCCACTTTCTCTTTTGGTGGCTGTCGTGAAAAACGCGTGTTTCACGGGGAAGAATACGACAGAGAGAGAGAGAGAGAGAGAGAGAGAGAGAGAGAGAGAGAGAGAAGAGAGAACA